ACCAGTCCAAAACAACAACAACCAGTCCAAAACAACAACAACCAGTCCAAAACAACAACAACCAGTCCAAAACAACAACAACCAGTCCAAAACAACAACCAGTCCAAAACAAACAACCAGTCCAAAACAACAACCAGTCCAAAACAACAACCAGTCCAAAACAACAACCAGTCCAAAACAAATGTCCTCAATGTCAGGATGCAGATTCTCAACAAGTTAGGCTTCAAAAAAAGTATGTATGTATGTATGTACGTTACGTACGTACGTACGTACTTATGTATGTATGTACGTACGTATGTACATATGTATGTATATACAGGGGTTAGACAATGAAACTGAAACAGCTGTCATAGTGTGGGAGGTTTCATGGCTAAATTGGACCAGCCTGGTGGTCAATCTTCATTAACTACACATTGCACCAGTAAGAGCAGAGTGTGAAGGGTCAGTTAGCAGGGTAAGAGCACAGTTTGGATCTAAACATTGCAATGCTCACAACATTATGGTGACATACCAGAGTTCAAAAGAGGACAAATTGTTGGTGCACGTCTTCCTGGAGCATCTGTGACCAAGACAGCAAGACTTTGTGATGTATGAAGAGCCACAGTATCCAGGGTAATGTCAGCATACCACCAAGAAGGACCAACCACATCCAACAGGATTAACTGTGGAGCAAGAGGAAGCTGTCTGAAAGGATGTTCTGGTCTAAAACCAGCTGTTTCACTTTCATTGTCTAACCCCTGTATGCATGCATGTCAGTAATTTATAAGGGAAAGACAGACGATCTACAGACAGGACCTTCTTGTCTCACTGCTGTTTGTTCTCCAGGTTTATTTATGAGACGGAGCATCACAACGGCATTGCTGAGCTGCTGGAGATCCTGGGCAGGTAACTCTGACTCCTGTAAGGCCTGCTGACTTCTGAGCTGTGATGACCTTTGACCTGCGTGACACTTGTGTTTCAGCATCATTAACGGCTTCGCTCTGCCGCTGAAAGAAGAACACAAGATGTTTCTGATCCGGGTTCTACTGCCCCTGCACAAAGTCAAGTCTCTGAGCGTGTACCACCCTCAGGTGTGTGGAGCTGTGTGTCGCTGGGTTCTGTGTATGTACTCGTTGTATTACTGACTGTGTGTGTGTGTGTGTGTGTGTGTGTGTGTGTGTGTGTGTGTGTGTGTGTGTGTG